CTAAATGGGACCTGCTATTTGTTCATTTTCTTGTAATTATGGAAAATTCCAAAACTAAATAAAAAGACACCACAGTATAATGCTCCTCATGTACTTGTCACCTGGCTTTAACAATTCACATCTGTAACAACTCCTACTTCCATTCCTCCTCCCATGCTATTCTGAAGCACATTCCAGGCATATTATTTCATCTGCAATTATTTCAGTACACATTTCTAAAAAATAAAGGCTCTTAAAAAATATAGACACATCATCACTACAATTAATACTTATTAATAACATCAAATAGCCAATGTTTAAATTTTTTGATTCTCTATAAATGACATAGACATTTGCTATTGTTCTTTTTGAGATTGCATGTTTGAATCAAGATGCAAGTGAACATATACAACTAGTTGATATGCCTTTTATGTTTCTTTCAACCTCTAAGTTTCTTCAGCTCTATTTTTTCCTTCCGATTCATTTGTTGAAGAAATTAGGTCCTGCATATTTTCCCCACAGTCTGGACTTGCTGCTTGCCTCCATGCTGTGTCATTTAACATGTTCTTTACCATATTCTTCTGTTCCCTGTATTGCCTATAATTCAATATATCTCATTGTAGAGGCTTGACCAGGTTCAGCTTCTAGTTTATCGGCAAGACTTCTTCACAGGTATTGATATATTCTTCTGTTAGGACCCACATAAAGTGTGGTTTTCTCTCTTATAATACCAGCAAGCCATTGGTGATCAATTTCTAAATCCATTTGGGGTTGCAAAATGGTGACATTCTAATAATAATTCAACCATTATTATTTCATTTTTTAAAACTGAAATACTTCCATAAGGAGAAAAATTTCCCCACATCTAGTATTTGAAAACTTGGCTGTAACTGGTGTTATTTTCTTTGGGAAAGGTAACATATTAACACATTGGCAGTGATTAACTTATCCTATTTAAAAGGTATCATGAATCATTTTCTTTAAGACTGTAGAAACCCTCACCTTGAGAAAAAAGGGAACTATAAGTACAACTGATAGAGAGGAAGTAAATGTTCATCAAAAACCTGAGATTAAAAAAACCAAAAAACAAAAACAAACCTGAGATATTTGGGAAGAGATGAAAGAAGAAACTTTAGTGCTTACAGGTAGTACTTTGCTAAGTCTATTCTTATCTGGCATATAAATTCCTATTTGGAAGCTTACCTTAAGGTTTTGAATAATAATTGCTTATTGAGGAGTCCTATATTCTTACCTCCTGTTCAGATCTCTCTCCAGGTTTTGCACAGTACTCAAAGCTCTACCTGACATGGCTACTTTGATGTCTAAAAGACATTTCAGAGCTAACATATCTAACATGGAACTTTTAGTTTCATCTCAGAAATTGTGATTACGATCTTCCCTATTTCAATAAATGGCAGCACCACCTGCCAGTTACTAAAGACAAAAAAACAGGAGTAGTCTTTGACTCCTTCTTTCCTTTAATCCCTAGAGTCAATCAATCAATCACCAAGTGCTGTTCATTTTCACATTATTAACTTCTTTCTCTTATCAATGTCACTACCCTAAATCATGTCACAACTGCTGAGAAACAACTGGGCTATTACAATAGCCTTCTGGCATCCAGGCTGACATGCTGGCCTCCTCTAGAATACTCTCCACAAGAAGAGAGAGTGACCTTTCTAAAAATGTCAGTCAAGGATCATGAGCTGATAACTGTTGAAGCTGTGTGATGGATTCATTACACCAATTTCTTGCCCTGTTTATATGTTTGAACTTTTCCAAATTGAAAAGATAAAATGATGGGAATTCGCTGGCAGTCCTGTGATTAGGACTCTGTGCTCTCGCTGCTGAGGGCCAGGTCAGGGAACTAAAATCCCATAAGACGTGCTTTACAGCCAAAAATAATAAATTAAAAAATAAAATAAAACAAAATGTTATTCAGATTATTTACCTTCTTATTATTGTACTTCTTGGATGACCCTGCTATGTTCTTGGAATAAAATTGAAATGTCTTACCTAAGCCTGTGAGCCCCAGCCAGCCCTCTGTTTACATGGCCAGCTTTATCTGATGCCACTCTTCCTGCTCAGGGCGCCCAGGCCATAACCAGTCAGTTTTGAGAAACCTTTAAGTTCTTTCTTATTTAAAGCATGTGTACTTGTTATTCCCTCTACCAGAAAATGACCATTCCCGAGCTCTTTGCAAGGTTGCCTCCTTCTCTTTCTTCGGGTTGCAACAAAACTGCTCAATCTAAGTTAGATCGTCTTCCTTTACCATTAATGTCTATTACATTATTCTGTTTATTTTATATCTTACCACAGTTTATATGTATCCTGTTTGTTTATATATAAATGTAAGGTGAATGGCTACCCACTCCAGTATTCTTGCCTGGAGAATTCCATGGACAGAGGAGCTGGGCAGGCTTCAGTTCATGGGGTTGCAAAGAGTCAGACATGACTGAGCCAGTAACATACACATTGGACATGCACTTGTTTATTACAATAAGAAATTAACTTAAATAAATACTTAAAGATATTTGAAGGCATGGGACTTCCTTGGTGGTCCAGTGGCCAAGACTCTGTGCTCCCAACAAAGGGGGTCAGGGTTCGATTCTTAGCCAGGGAACTAGATTCCACATGCCACAACTAAGAGTTCGCATGCTGCAACTAAGGATCCCGCACGCCACAACAAAGATCGAAGATCCCAAGTGTTGCAACTAAGACTTGGTGCAGCTAAGAAAATAAATAAATACCTTTAAAAATATATATTTTAAGGCATATACCCACTCACATTCTACTCTACTCATATTATAAGTCCAATTATTTGAGAAACTGGTGGATAGAATACAAATTTTAATAATTTTGCTTCATAAACACAGATTTATAAGCAAAGTAAGATTCTGATCAGGAGAGTAACTTCCTGAAATTGAAATTTTAGGAAGATAGTAGTATGCAATATGGATTGGTGAAAGAGAAAGCAGAATTAGAAATCTCTACCTGAATATATCCTCTCTCTGGTTCTAAATTGCCCAATATTTTAAAGTGCTGAATAATTTTAAGTCACAGTCACTGTTTAATTTAAATGCCCAACCTCTGAAATTATATTTTGTATCACTAACATGACACCTCTCTCATTTTTACTACCAATACATGTAAGTTTTATCAACTGTTAATTTCAGGCAATTCTCCTAGTGGGATGATAAAGAAAAACTCAGCAGGTATTTTTGCAGATTCTGTCCTTTGCCAATCATTGTACTGATTCAGAGTCATAGGATTCATTTATATTTAGTTACACTAAAAACACAGCTACATAAGCCAGTCTACCAAACCAAGGTGCAGATAGAAACTGTCTGCCAGTCATCTAAAGGATGTCCCTGGCATGACAGAATTTTAGAACTGGAAGGTAAATAAGAGATTATGTAATAATCCAAAACCTCCTCATTTTAAAGGGGGTGAAACTGTTGTTCTAATAGGTTTACAAACTTACTTTTCCCAAAGTAAAAGATAATATCCTAATCTGATAGTGCAAGTCTTATTTTCAGAAGACCCTTAAGGAATTGAATAGTAAATCTGTATCATATCAAAATCTAGAACACAGGGCTTTTATGTCATAAACCCATTATTTTTGTTATAGTGATAATGCCTCCTTTTCCCTCTTTTCCAGCATTTTTCCTTTAAGTCTTTTCAAATTATTCCAGTGACCTCTGCTGTTCCTCAGATAGTACTGAGACTAATATTTTCTTGTTTTTAAAAATGGTTTGCTTTATCAACACGCCAAACTTATAGTGCACAAAGTCAACAGAACACATTTCATACTGGCATCTCCTTCAAGTCCTCCTAAGAGCCCAAGGTGGGTTACAAGCTATATAAAATTTAAGTTTTGTTCAAACTCTTTGTAAAGTTACTCGTAGATTTGATGGATCTCGTAAGCAAAGATGGACATCTTTCAGTAAAATAAATGGATACCCAAATTCATAATGCTGTGGAAGTCTGATTATCAGTCTACAACATCCATTAAGCATTTATGCGGCTCAAGCACAGTATTGACATTGAGCACTCTGATGTACAAAGTATTCTAGAAGCTAGAAGGAATTCAGTCCCCTTTTCAGAGGAACTTGCATTTCACACAGTTAAGGCGCCCAGGGCAAAGCTTTATAATCTACAGTATTTGCTCAGCATACCTTGAGCATGTCACCACAGCAGATTTCCCAGCTTCTGATGACAGCCCCACTCTCCTGCAGAGACAGTGTTGGACCCTGGCAATCTCCTACTTCTGGCTTTTACGCCCATAAAACAACCCACTGAGATCCTTTCCTCTCTTCGGGCGGAACCACACCCAAACCACTCCTACCAGATGAAATTCACTCCTGTTTTTACATACTTAGCAGAGAGACCCCACAGCCTTTCATCTGGGCACTCACAGTGGGCAGAACTCTGCAGGCAATTCCATCCCTCAGTGCAGGAACCCTGACATCCCAGAGTTGAAGCCAACTTCCTTCCAGATCGCTGGCACCCAGCTAAGCAGCTTGGAGCGCCCTGCCACCTCCACAACCTCAAACGGGGTGGACTGGCCTCGACCGGCCGGGCAGCCACCCCGCACTGGCGGGGCGTGGTCTGCGGCTGCCTAGGTGTCCGGAACGTTGGGGACCAGGGGATAGCAGCGGGAGGAGCGGGGTGGGCGCCCTCCGTTCTCGCGAGAGCTCACAAGGTGGGAGCAGCGAGGGGCTGGGGACCAGGAGGTGGGGGAGCTGCGCGGCGGCCCTTCTCCGGGGAGCAGGCGAGCGGCCCTTTCCCCGCCTTCTTTTCCTTCCCCTCCCATTGAGTGATTCAAGCCGTGCGCTTCCCACTTCCGCCCCCTCTGCGAGCCTTTGGAACTAGCGAAGCCAAACAAGTTGTGGCCGCCGAGCAGCTGGCGCTCTCCGCCTCCTCCTCATCCTCTCCTCCTCCTCTCTGCTCTCCAGGCCTGGCCGCCGCCGTCCCGAGGCCCCGCGACCGCCGAGCCCGCAGCCCAAGCCGCGGCCGACATGAGCTTCTTGTTGTGAGTAGCCAGGCCCCGCGCGCGCCGGCTTTGTTCAGGCGACCTGGGCCGCGGCCCCCGCCCGCCTGGCCCCGCGCCGGGCGGGTCTCCGGGAACCTGTCCCGAGCGCTCGCGCTGCCTGACCGCTGCCGCCTCCCGGGCAGGCTTAGAGCACGCGGGGAATCTCCAGCCCCCAAGGACGCTCTTTATCCCCGGATCCCGAGTCCCGACAGCCCCGATCGATGCCTGCGGCCGCGTTTCTCCACCTCCCCGTCCTCTCCTCTCGCTCTTCTCCTGCGTTTCTTTGCACGCTCTACGGGGATACCTCCCACTCTTCCGCGTGACCAGTCCCCGAGACGTGCAGGGTCGCCTGTTTCCATCTCCCCTGTCCGTTGCTTTTTTCCTGGATCCCAAGCACAGAAAATAGAGCTTTAACCTGTCCCCCTAGGATCCTTTTCACTCCCCTCGTAGGTTTTAGGAGTGGGTAAGTTGGGGCGACAGGTCTCGTGGCTATAACACACTTAGAGCGGCTGCCGGGTCGGGATCCCCTGGTGACAGCCTGGGGTCTTGGGGATGGAGCGCCTGGCTTTCTCGAGGTGCCTCTCCTCCCCGCGTGCTCCCCTGAAGAGCACAGGCTTTTATCTTTCCAGACAACCACCATATAGGGTCTGGTCTTGTGCCCTGGGTTGATTAGGTCCGCTGGGGAGTTGTTTTGCAAATCATTTGTAAATGCCAACTCCGCGTCACATTTAGTGCTGGTCATTATTTCCCTTACTTATCGTTTATTGCAGACGAGTTGAGGCGGATGGGCAGAAAGATGGGGTGGCTGGATGGGAGTATGGTGGCAGCAGACAAGCTTCAGGTCCTCTGAAAAGAGGACCTTACGCCTTGGGGGACTGCTCTTTTGAAGGCTTGGTTGTGATTCACCTCTGTTTAATCTGTGGTTAGAAAGCTAGTAAAAATTCGGAGATTGAAACCCACCCCGTGTGCTCTTTTACTGTTGCGGAGAAAATCAGCATTTAAAGGTTTATTTTTTGTCCCAATTTTCTTTTCCTGCCTCCCATGATTTTTCATCATCACACTGGCACCTGAATCCTGCGAATTTAACTCACCCTTATTTTCACAAGCTTATATCTAGAATATTAATCCTTTTTAGGATGTTTAAGCAAAACTGAGATATCACAGAGGCCAGCAGGCAGGTTAGACTTGCTGGTATTTCTGATATGCACAGGGTAGCGAGGGGTCTGGCTTGTGTCAGCCTGCCTTAACACGTTTGAGCTTGTGAAACGTCTTTCTTAGGCTCATCCTGGAAGTTGATTCTGAGTTTGTCAGCTAGGCAGTACTAGATAAGAGGACTGAGCGACTTCATAAAAATCTTCATTTCCTATTTTAGTTTCAGTCAACATATCCAAACATCTCAGCTTGAAACTTTTCATCTTGAGTATTTTTGTTTTTACATTGCTGATGTTTGATTTCTTCAAGAATTTAAAAGCCATCTTTGAGACAGCAGTGTAGATGATGTCTTTGACTGCTTCTGATGGGCCTTTGTCTCTGAGAACTCATGGCTAACATTGGCTGAAGCAGGGAAGAACCATATTTGGCTGAGACCAGGAGATAGAGAAAGTTTTGGTGGTATTTTCTGAGTATAAATACAATAGTATCCTACTCTTCTGTGGCTCAGTATTTGATAATTACAGAAATGCTATGAACAAGTTCATTTTCCTGAAGCATATTAGCTACATAAATCATAAAAAAGAATCTTGCTGTAGCTAATGTATATAGTACATGGGCTTTTCACGGGGCACAGTGGTGAAGAATCCACCTGCCAAACAGAAAACATGGGTTTGATCCCTCTGTCTAGAAGATCCCCTGGAGAAGGAAATGGCAACCCACTCCAGTATTCTTGCCTGGGAAATCCCATGGACATAGGAGCCTGACGGGCTACAGTCCATGTGGTCACATAGAGTCTGACACAAATTAGCTTCTAAACAACAAGAATTTGGAACACAGTTTTTCAGTCAAGTCACATGTAGCGGTTAATTAATTCTCAAAGTATTTTGTCTATGTGCTTGACTGTCCAAAAAAGTTAATCTAATATTTTTGGTTTTGATTTTCATCCACTAGTAGTTTTAAAATATGAAGTAGAGAAATATTGATAATTATCAGAAGTGAAAGAACAAAGTTTTGGTTATTATCTATTGGTTATTTGGTGTAGTTTCCTGGATTTTATTTCTGTTCCAGCAGATAAGCAGAGAAAGTAAAATCAAAGCTGCACTTCAGGAGTTAAATACAAATATTTTCCCCAGTTCTTGGAAGCTTGCTTGTAAAGCTGCCATAAGTGGATGAAGGTGAGGAAATAGGGCAATGTGAGATAAGCATATGAAGGTGATGACTCGTGACTTTTGCAGGCTTTAAGACAGAAGGAAAGAATTATCGATTTAAAAAAAATCAGTCATATGCAGGCACTGGTGTAGGCACTGGGAATCATTTCTGAACAAAACATGAAAATTCCTGCTTTAGTGGAGCTTATTTTCTGGTAAATGACCGTAAACACTGATCATCAGTACCTTTTATAGTATGGTAGGAGGTTGTAAGTGCCATGGACCAAAGTCCCTGATAAAGATGTTTTAGATAGGAAGTGAAGTAATTTTAGGTAATCCTCAGGGGGGGTGTTTAGACACTCTGCAGCAGTGATACCTTTGTGTAGCTCTTATACAAATGGCTCAGAGTAAATTTGCACTTCATATATGAATCTGACTGGGACAAAGCTTTGGTTGTGCTCCATGTTGGCCTGTATGTGTCTTCAAATTTAGCTAAACTCCCAGATGGTGCATACAAAAACTTTACAGGAACCTAATTTAACTCTGTAGACTCAAATCTTTAAACACATCCTTAGCACCTGCTGTGTGCTAGGCATTGTGCAAGATGTGAGACTCCAGAAATGGTAGACAGTGTATAAATAGTCATCTGTAAGAGATGCTATGCAAGCCCAGGAATCCAGAGAAAACAGAGCATTTTGTCCTGCCCTTTCATGGAAGAAATGATGAATGGGAGGTATAACAGGAGTTCTCTAAAAGGGGAAATGGGAGATTTCAGTCAGAGGAAGCATCAGGGAGGCATGAAATTGCCCATGAATTCTCCATTTTGTTCAGGTTTGTTCAAGAGGCTGTAGAATGTGGGACCTGGATGGATCTTTCAGTAACACAGCCTACTCCCCTCATCTTGCTCAAGTGGCAAAATACCAACTTCAGGTTACTCGCCTAATTATTGGCCTGGGTAGATTCAGAACACAGTTTTCTTGATTTAGGGCTTTTCCTATCCTGACATTTTATGAGTATAAAATTCAGGGAGATGTAGGATCAGAGTGAGTTCTTAACAGTATCATTCAACAAATATTAACATATAGTGTGTTCTCTTTTTCTCTAGCATTTTTGGACTACAGGTCTCTTCTGACATGTAATTCCACTGAAACATTTGACTAGGAAAAATGAAGTGAAAGTCACTCAGTTGTGTCTGACTCTTTGTGACCCCTTGGACTGTAACCCACCAGACTCCTCTGTCCGTGGAGTTCTCCAAGCAAGAATACTAGAGTGGGTTGCCATTTCCTTCTCCAGGGGATCTTTCAGACCCAGGGATTGAACTCAGACCCAGGGTCTCCTGCATAGCAGGCAGTTTCTTTACAGATTGAGCCACCAGGAAAGCCCCCCAAGGTGTAATTTCCTAATGTAAGACTACTCAGTTGGAACAGAGTTAAAATAAATATAGTTAACTTTAAAATGGAAATTCATAGGAAAGGTGGTTTAGGAATGTGAATGAAGAAGCCAAACCTGTTTCTGTATAGGAAGAAACAAAGAGGTTGAGCAAGGAAGGGAGAAAGGAAAGAAATATTTATTAAGCATTATGGTGGACAACTGCCATTTGTGTTTTCAAAAGAATAGTAGTTTAGGAAAGGGGACCCAGGTTTTCAGCTGTGTTAATATCTGTCTCTCCATCTGTCTCTTCTGCTTCTCTCTTCTCTCCTTTCTTTCAAAGACCCCTCCACCCCACCTATCCCAGCATCTTTGTTTTCATTCAGATGATTTAACTGATTTTAGTACCTGAACATCCTTACCTATAAAAGAAATTCAGAGTAAAATAACCTAAGTGCTATGTACCAGGCACTAAATGCTTTAAATAAGTAGTTTAATAACAAATAGGAACCTCCTTTTTACAGATGAAGAAACTGACAAAGAGAGGTTAAATAATTTGCTCAAAATTATGTGACCAGTCTGTGGGGTAGTTGGAATTTGAATCCTGGCAGTCTCAATCCAGAGAACCTGCCTCATATTACCTTATCTATAATTGATAAAATTATATAAAAAGGTGGTATTCAGATGGGTCTTGTTTTTCAGAGAAGTTTTCCATTACCAGGTATTAATATCTCATACTGTTAGGACTGTTTTCTGAGGTTCATCAAGAATGTAATGGTGGAAGAGAAAATAGAAACCTTTAAATTTAAATAATACTTTAACATTATTTTTGACTTTTAGTGTAGGAATAATACACATTTTGGTGAAATCACAAAATACTGATAAGAAAAGGAAGAAAATCAAAATCTCTCATAATTGCACCTTCAGAGATAGCTATTGTATTTTGTGATATCACTTCCTAATCTCTTCCGTGATGTTTTGTTTGTATATATTTAAAAATATACAAATGGATCTCTACTGTGCATAGATCAAGTTTTTCACTTGTGAATTTTTTATGTCAGTATATTACTGCAGCATCACTTTGAGTGTTGGTTGACCAAGTGTTACATAACAGTTTTGTTGTTTGTCAACCCAATTAAATATGGCATGCTTGTTTTGCAGAGGGAATTGAATCAATTTGGTCATGTTTTCAGAACTATAGTTTTGGGAATTGTGACTACTTGGCTGGCCTTTGTTTACTTTTACCATCTGATACAGAGTTGCATTTGTTTTACATTACGGAGTGCAAAATAATTACTGTTTGATTACTTTTACCATTAATGATTTTTTTTT